CCTGTGGCTGGGGACTGAGCTAGCTGTTGTTTTTGTTTCCTGTATTTTTTCCAGTGGGTATCTGCTTATTTTTGGGTCAGTTGTTGTAGACTGGACATTCTGTGTGTCAGAGTTTACTCCTCTCCTATCTTCCCATGCTCTATATATTCCAGGTAGACTATTCAATAGTTCCTCCTTTTTTTCGTATTTATTGTTTATTAACCTCCTGAGTGTTTTCCTGATATCTGTCCATAGTTCCACATCCCTGTTGCAGATCCAGAAACACCTCTCTAGATAGATGTCATTTTTGGTTGCAGTGTTTACTCTTGCACAGGTAACATGATGTTTTGAAGAGCAAAGGTTGCAAGTGATTCTAGATTTTTTCCCAAGAGCCTTTTCACATGTTCCACAGGTATACTGCACTGCCATCCTACCTGTATCCTATTTGCAACTGGCTACCACAAGAACCTGATCTTTACTTTACCTTTCAGCTCTGCACTCAGGTGTGGGTGTTATAGGTCAATGCATGGGTATGTGGGATGTAATTAGTATGGGGACTTATTACACATTAAACACTTTTTTATTATATATGTGTGACATCATATATCATACATCCCACAGCCTCTTATTTCTGTCATGATCACTGCAGTTTATCTTGTCCTGGGCAGTTATATGTAGTGGTGGTGGCTTGGTTTCGGTGATGAAAGGTAGGTTGGTGGTCGGGGGGGGAACCTCCCCCGCTTATTGGGGTACGAAGGAGGGGTCGGCTGGGGGAGTGGTGAGGGGATAGTGGGGTGGGTGTAAACTTGCGCAGTTTGTTCCCATATAATTACACCATAGCTTACACTTCTGCTGCTACAGGACAGGACAGGATACTCTCAGGTAATAACCATGAGGGTGAGACGGGAGAGCGGGATAGTGGAAGTGAAGTGAGGGAGAGGAATGGTTTGAGGAGTGAGGGAAAGAGCCTGTGCTAGACCCAGCCGCATGGCGAGGTTGGACAGAATTGAAAGAAAAATGCTGCTTGCTGTGCTGACTATGTGCTATATGTACAGCGCGGTCCGGATTCAAAGTAAAGGATCGAAAGTAGGCAGCGCCAGTGCGTCATACACTAAATTTGCTGTTTATGTTTCTCACATGCTATTGTAGGTAGATGGAGAGGGATATGGTAGTGATAGCTAGAAAAAAGGGCGTCGTTTAAGGTCGACCTTTGCAGAGGGCATGGCAGACAATCTAGGAGTAGGGTTATAGACTGAAAAAGGTTTTGAAGGTTGTGTGGCCGTCTTATGATTTCGTCAAAGTATGTTGTCCATGAGTCTTGGCGGGTTTCCAGTCGGTCTATTTGCCTGTCGCTAAGCTCTTTCAAGAAGACGTTCAGCGACGGGGTGCCTGTCCTGGTGTGTAGCTTGCAGCTAAATCCCTCAACACCACGTCCAGCACCCACCACAGCGCATGGTTGTGGATTCGCTGTAATTTCAGGACATTATTCTTAGCAGCTAGTTAGAGAGCGAGAGGTGTATATGTGATGAGTGGCCGTATAAGGCCCTTGTATATGTGTAATTTAGTCTGTGGATGTAAACCTTTGAGTTTATATAGTTGCCAAAGGACTTCACCAGCCAAAGCTCTCTTGGGAATTATGTGAGTGTGTAGTCTGAGATTGGAGTCGAGGTGTCCGGGGTATAGGTGTTCTTGTAGTGGCAATTCTGAACTCGACATGTAGTGGGGGACGATTTTTTGGAAAAAAATGGGTTATTTTTTATTTATTGGCGTTTGTCTTTATACGCCATAGGATTTCCCGGGCACTAATTCTGTCGACCTCGCGTTGTGTTCTGAATGATTAGCGTCTAGTGGTTTCGTGTGCGGCGAGTCGTGTAAAGTCACCTGCATGTGCTAGTGTAAGTGTGTTTTGGTATTCAGGGTCTGGTATATCATTTGTATAAAAGGTGTACAGAGCAGGAGAGAACACAGAGCCTTGAGGTACTCCAGCATGAAAGGGGAAGAAGTCGGAGAGACAGTTTTTAAAGTTAATTCTCATCGTACGGTCATCAAGGAAGTAGCGGAGTAACTTTTTAACATTCGGAGGAAGGTCTAAAAGGTTGTGAGCTTATACTTAAGTTAAGCCCCGCACACTAGAGACGAAAGCTTTCTCCACGTATTTAGCAACCAAAGCCGTCGAATATCTTTGAGCCTTATTGATGTGAATGTAGTTCAGAATGATGTTGAGGGCTGATTGCTTCGAGCGGTGTTGGCGGAAGCCAAATTGTAAGTAAATGGTTTGTCTCAAGGTGGTGCTAGTCTTGTGTTATTCTTTCAAATGTCTTTCCGAGGGTTTCTAATAGACTGATAGTCTGTAGTTCCTCGGGTCAGTTGGAACTTGGTGAAGTTTGGGGATAAGAGTGGCAGTTGCAGATTTGAATAAGGGAGGGAAATAGCCAGAAGCAAGGCAGGCATTATAGAGGTTAGTAACGGCAGAAATAACAGAAAGGCCAGAAGCACCATGTCCTTTTGGGAGAAGACGTAAAATTTGGGATTGAACAAGTGGTTGAGAGAAAGGTGTGTTGAAGTGGGTGAAGGTGAGAGAGGTGTAGTAGATAATGTCAGAAGTGGTGTTGTCTCTGTGAGTAGCTACCCAGTGTTCAATATTTTGTGTATGTTGGAGTGCGGCTGGGTCTGGACGGTTTGGGTGAAAAATGTTTTCCCAGATGTCTTTGAATGCATGTTCTTATGTTCTAATGTTTTAGTTATGTGTTAAATTCTGGGAGAGTAGTGTTTTTGGGACTCCAGTAATCTTCCGAATAAAATTCAAAAATTTCCTGGGGACCCGTATGCGACATGTCTCAGCAGTGTGTATGAGGGATTGCCAGTATTCTGAATTGGTCCTCATCCAATTTGCGGATGATGTGATTTTTTTCAGGAAGGTGAGATCTCCCATGACTGTGTAGGTTAAAGACAAAGTGGTGACGGTCCTTTCAAACTGGCGGAAGGAATATCTGATAGATTGTTGTATGTGTGTTACCTGTGTGTCTATGTCGGAGATGTGTTTGCTGTCACAGTTGTGTGAGAGGTTGGTGTGATTTAGGTGTTGTATAAATGTGTTCCAGTCTGCCTGTGAATATAAAGGAAGTAATCTGGCGGGGGATGAGGATGGGGTTTGATGAAAGATAAAAGGTGACAGGGAAGTGATCAGAGCCAGAGAAAGGGCCTAGTATAATGTGGTCAAGAAGCTAGAGGTTGGCTCTGTTATGACAATGTCAGGTTTTCTCTGGCTTCTGGGCCTAAAGAAGGTGTTGAAGTGTGGGCCAAGGTGTATTAGGTGTTTTTGTGTTACTAGTTGCTGTATCTGTCTGGAGTGTTGGTTAATGGAAGTGTCATGGAAGGCTGTATGCTTTTCATTTAAGTCTGCAAGAAGATATACAAGAACATTGTTGTGATTAAAGAGAAGTTAGGTCAGCAGTGTTTAAATATATTTATAATGGATAATTACTATTTATTAATTATTCAATAAAGAGACAATATAACAGTCATCTAGACAGATGACTTGAAACAGAAAAAATACATGAATTAACAATTGTTATTAACAATGTATCACCATGGAAAACCTCTCCACCAATCAGAGGAAAGAAAAATGTGCTGTGACATTTCATCACCCAGTCAAAGAATTTGACAAATCATGCGCATTATATGCAAGAAAAAAGTTAATCTAGAAATGTCAAATGATTAAAAAGTGATGAAATACGACAATAAAGTGAAATCAAACAGAAAATATATAGCAGGTTCTTCCCACAATGCTCCAGATACTAACAAAAGAGTTTCAATACTCCCTGATAATGGCACTCAACAAAAACAGAAGACGGACTCCTATACAGAAATAGCGAGAGAAAATAGTCGTCTGAGCTAAGGAATATCTGCGTGTCCCTGAGAAGCACTGTGGGTCTCTCAACCCACGGCAGAACTTTTGCCGAGTGTCATTCACGGATTACGTTGAGAGAAGTAATTAATGTGCCAGTTATATCCCACGTAGCCACAACCATTAGTACCAATATCCAGGTCCGGGATATAGTTATTTAAATCGCTGAACAATTTTTCATAACAAGGCAGAAGTGATTATGAAATAAGATGGGATAAGTTGCTCCATTTACAACGCTTACTTGTAAATAATTCAGATAATTATGACACATTTTATGACAGCTAAGTAGGAAACTGTTAATCGTTCACGTAGAAAGCTGTAATAAAGTTGGTAGAATTACCGACAATATGTAAAGTAAAAGGACACAAGTGCAACTAATGTGACATTTATTGTGGCAACGTTTCGCTCTCCAGGAGCTTTATCAAGCCATTGGCTTGATAAAGCTCCTGGAGAGCGAAACGTTGCCACAATAAATGTCACATTAGTTGCACTTGTGTCCTTTTACTTTACGTAGAAAGCTGTTGGAACTGTAAATGTTTACGGAGGAGACTTGGTGGTTTGCAGTGAATTTCAGCTCCTTTCTAGTACAGTCTACATATTTCGTTAAAGATTATCAATACAGTTATCTGAATACCACTGAGAACGAGGGGAGTTTTAATGACGATCGCTGTCCACCTGCGGATATTTCATGATTTTCGAAGGAGTGCCTTATCTGAGGACCCAGGGTGCAACAGATAAGTTATCAGATATGTAATTGAAAAGTAATAGACTAATCCCCAAAGTAGATCATACAGTAGTAATATCGCAATCAGTGGTATTAATTAACAAACATATACGTATATTCGTGTTCCTCAATTTCGTTTCCTTTTCTGCCTTAAATTTTAATGCCATTTTCATGATTTTTTATGGAGCTCTTGTTTTCAGTTCTATTTTGTCACTTTGTGATGCAAAACAAAAATATACATTATGAACTGCAATCTATTGCATGTTTCAACATAATGTGAATGACGTTGTTTTCATGTATGCCACGAAAAAAAAATATAAGGTATATTTTCGGGCAACGTAACCGATGTCAGACAACATGTTTTTCACTCATCATATTTTATCGTTTCAGATAATCAATCGTCTACAGTTTCCAGGAGGAGCTGGATTGTTTGAAACAATAAATAATTGCTCAGATTTCAACACGATGGACAAGGACCTCTCATTGCTGGTTGATAATGTTAAACTGGTAAGCTGGTTGCCCATCGTTTGGCAAGTAAAACGTTATGTTTACTTCGTTACTGAATTTTTAGGGGGTACTGTTTTTTTTTTTGTCACAGCATAACATTATAGGAGTTCGTCCATGCACATTACAACTAAAACTGTTCTCATTACTGTTGAGGTTGGTGACCTTTCTATCTCTAACAGATTATAAACATTATTTGACTAAAGTTTCTACACAAACAGCTGCGGAAGTTGTCATCATACACAACAATTGTGGTGATAAGTGACGAGGCAACCTTCCTCGCCGCCTTCGTCAAGTGGTCCGTCAAGGGGCGCCTCATGGTGTGGTCGACGAGGCTCCTCATCCTCACTCACTCTCGCCTCATGGAGCTGCAGGATCTCCACACAACCTTGTCCAACCTCAACTCTATGTTGGTTATTATCAACAACGACACAACAAACATTAGGTGATAATTGTTATGTTAAATATACTTTAGGAGGGGTGAGAGAAATATGTTGGGTCCCGTGTGATCTGTAGTATAGTCTTCGCTTTCTTTATATATATATATATATATATATATATATATATATATATATATATATATATAATATATATATATATATATATATATATATATATATATGTATATAACATTATCTCTCAGTCTACAGCAGGACTCGAACCTGCAAATCTTGTATCAGAGTACACAGTACTTTACCACGGATCCAGACCCCAGATAATTATGTATGGGCGCCGAGCCGGAGCTACACGATGTTTCCCCATACCCCGGGGCACAGGGCTCATTCAAAGTTAATTCATCAAATCCTGCCAGATGCAGTGAACAACGAGAGAGATATGAAATGCTTACCAATACGCAAACAGGCGAAATTATTTACAAACTTTATCTGTCAGTCCACAGCAGAACTCGAACCTGCAAACTCTGCAACAGAGTACACATGACTCCAGATAAGTATGGGCGCCTAGCTGAAGCTAGACGATGTGTCCCCATGGACTAACAGATAATGTTTGTAAATAATTTCACCTGTTTGCGAATTAAGCATTTCAGAACTCTTCTGTTATTTTGTCTAGTGTGGCTGAATCGGTGCATCTCTGGACTTGCATCTGACAGCTGGTTAGTCCACAGTGCTCCTTGTGCTGCTTGTTACCTTTGCAAAATAGTGAGATTTTTGTTTCAATGATATGTGATTTTACATAACTATGAGCATATCGCCTACAGTTAAAGTTGATTCAGTCACTTAATATCACCAGGCTTCTACCATACCTGCCTCACACACACACACAAATCGGTCGACGATCAGGCAGGATTACAGAGAGACCTGGACAGGCTGGACTCGTGGTCCAGCAACTGGCTCCTCGAATTTAACCCCGCCAAATGCAAAGTCGTGCAGATCGGGGAAGGGCACAGAAGACCGCAGACAGAGTATAGTTTAGGTGGCCGAAGACTGCGAACCTCACTCAAAGAAAAAGATCATAGGGTGAGTACGAGCACATATCCTGAGGCGCACATCAACCAGATAACTGCTGCAGCATTCGGGCGTCTGGCAAACCTGAGAATAGCGTTCCGATACCTCAGTAAGGAATTGTTCAAGACTCTGTACACCATATACGTCAGGCCCATATTGGAGTATGCAGCACCAGTATGGAATCCACACCTGGTCAAGCACGTCAAGAAATTAGAGAAAGTGCAAAGGTTTGCAACAAGACTAGTCCCAGAGCTAAGGGGACTGTCCTACGAAAAAAGGTTAAGGGAAATCGGCCTGACGTCACTGGAGGGCAGGAGGGTCAGGGGAGACATGATAACGACATATAAAATACTGCGAGGAACTGACAAGGTAGAGAACGACAGGATGTCCCAGAGATGAGACACAGAAGCTAGGGGTCACAATTGGAAGTTGAAGACTCCTATGAGTCAAAGGGATGTTATGAAGTATTTCTTCAGTCACAGAGTTGTCAGGCAGTGGAATAGCCTAGAAAGTGACGTAATGGAGGCAGTAACCATACATAGTTTTAAGAAGAGGTTTGATAAAGCTCATGGAGCAGGGAGAGAGAGGACCAAGTAGCAATCAGTGAAGAAGTGGGCCAAGAGCTATGACTCTACCCTTGCAGCCACAAATAGGTGAGTACACACACACACACACACACACACACACACACACACACACACACACACACACACATATATATATCAATGTATGTTAAATGTATTTTCAACAAAGAACTAGTGTATAAGTTGGTGTTACAGGTGCAGTGTTTACGTCCAGCTGCCGTATAGTCCGCGGGGATCCCAGGTTGTGCAGGTGGCCTCCTGGACACCTCGTCGTGGCCTCCTCCTCACCTCACACCTCCCACTCTTCCCGGAAAAGTTCTCTAAGTGAGTTTGAGAAAATAATTTAGAATTTAGAGTGCATGAAAAATGCATTTTTTCCTTTTCTAAATTCTAGCTTAATTAAAGAGTAACTGTCTTGTGAACTGGTAAATGATAATAGACTAAGTAATTCATCAATATTTAAAAAGAATAGCTGCAGCAAAGTTATGGTGACTTATAGAAAGAAACACAGTCGAAATTACTTATTTAATTGCAACCCTGGGAGATAATGTTTATGTATATACTTATATTAATGCAAATATTACATTTACATACGCAACCTTTATATTTCAAATACTTGACGTAGTTCGTCTGAGCTGGGGAGTGTCTAGTATGCAAGGAACTTTATTGACCTCCCTAAACTAGCTTTTCTGTCATCCTTAGTTACGTTAAAGATCTCATTTGCTGAACTCTATCAGGAGTTAAGCAAATGAGGTCTTCAAATCTATTAAACAGTAATCGATTTGACAGCCAACATCCATGTATTTCCTAGACTTTTACGACTCCTTGAAGGTAGCGGCTGCATCTGCTTCTTTATTTTGTTATGCTTGAGATAAGTGTAAGTCAATGAGGACGACAATGTGTCGCCCCACACCATAGTCTTTCTTTCTCCCCACTGAAGCAGATTCCATCTGAACATTTTTGGTTGTCATCAGGTCTTTATAGGTTGAGTTCTTTTAGTGCAGGACCAAAGCTTTTGGTAATCATATTAATACCTGTGAGGGAAAGGTTCAATAGATAGGAGTAGCGAGGGAGTATATAGTAACAATAGTTTCATTGCCGGCTACTTGTTAAGGTAGGGTAAGTCCAGCTTCCGCTATTCCCCCCCTTTTTCCCCCTCCCCGAAAGTGATAGTTTGATTGCCGGCTGCTTGTTAAGATAGGGTCAGTCTAGCTCCGGCTATTCCTTCCCCTCCCTCTTCCCCCACCCTCCGAAAGGTGACGTGTGGGGCTCCGGCCAAACAGTAATCACTAGACTCACAGCTCCAAGCACTACTCTTGGAATGACAGAATGGGTCACCTGCCAACCAACGAGTAGAATTGAAGGAGACGGACTAACGTCCTGAGACGTCCCATGTTTTATCTACTTGCCTGTGCACTTGTATGAAGTTGCAGGACGTAACTCCTCATCATTGCAGCGGTAAAGAACCTGCTTTCCTGTCATCTGGGTAGATTATTTTACGACTATAGACTCTGTGAAGAACGAGCCGGTGGGTTGTCACCAACACCTGCGACCCCCCCCCACACATCATCAGCAGCGGCTACGATTTCAACAACACGCAGTGTCACCAACACCAGACACCCAAGTTTTATATATATTAGCGTTGAATTCAGATATCATTTATATTTTTCATTTTTCATTTTCTTTAATGTAGGATCAATATTTCATATTTAAGTGTTTTATATTTTCTAAATAATAAAGTGTTTATGTTTGTCAGTTTTTGTTCTTTTTCTATGCATTAATTTTCCTGAGGAGGAGCCAGCCTTAGTAATACTAACTGAAGTTGTTACAGGGCTGAGTAAGCCTTCACAAGTGGCGATCTTGCCAGGATCAACTCGACTGAATCAAGATTCAATTCCATCTCGAATCTACCATTGGAACTTCAACGCCGCATACTACAGACGGTTACCACCAGCCATGAGTAATCATTCTCTATGTTAGGACTACAGTACAGGTATTTAAAAGATTTGGTGATTGTTATAGTCTTAATTTATTGTAAGTCAAGTCAGGCAGGATATAATAGTTAATTCTGCCACCTTTTTTTCGAGCTTGAAACACTTTGGAGGATTAGACTCTAGGGACCCGAGATTTTCCAGTGACAATTTGTTTCATTGAGCTTTTTATTATATCAAGGGAACTGTCGTAGGACACTCTTGATTTATTGGTGGGAAGATTTGATGGTCAAGGGACCCCATTCTACTTACTGTTTGGTCGGAGTCAGCATAGAACCCTTCGTTTTCATTAATACATTGTTTAATTGAAGCAGAGATCGAGTCCTCTGGTTTATTTACAGTTTGAGCGGAGCAGGAATTGAACCCTCCGTTTTCTTTGAGACCCGTTTCATTTTTTCCCTGGTAGTTTAAGTTATTCTTGCAAGTATTGAGGAATACCAGTTTTGGATGAATGCTGGAAGTTAGGAATAACAGGAAAAAATTTAGAATCTTTCGTTAGTGCTAAAATCCAGGAAAGAATTGCAAAGGAGAGAGAGAGAATCGAAAGAGAAGAGGAAAAGGAGAGAGAGAGAATTGAAAGAGAAAAGGAAAAGGAGAGAGAGAGAATCGAGAGAGAAGAGAATAAGGAGAGAGAGAGAAGCGAAAGAGAAGAGAATAAGGAGAGGGAAAAAATAGAGAGAGAGAACCAAGAAAGACAGTTAGAAAGAGAAAGAGAGGATAAAAAGGAGAGAGATCGAATTGAAAGAGAAAGCCAAGATAGACAGTTAGAAAGAGACAGAGAAGACAAAAAGGAGTGTGATAGATTTGATCGTGAGGAGAGAGCTAGAGTACGTGAGGAACAAGCTGAAGTACGTGAAGAACAAGTTAAATTAAGAGAACTTGAGGAAAGAGCAAAGGATAGAGAACGTGAGGAAAGAGCTAGAGAACAAGAGTTAAGGGAGTGAGAAAAAGATTGCGAGCTCGAAAAAGCTCACCTTGAATTAGAGAATAAAAAGTTAACTCTTGCACAGCAACAATTAGAGGAAGGAGTAATTGAACATCATGCAGCTAGGGCACATATTCCAACACCTAATTTACCTCCCTTCTCAGAGGGTGAAGACATTACTTCATACATTATCAGGTTTAAAAATACCACTACCCTCTGTGAATGGCCTGCTGACACCTGGGCTACCAGGTTAGGAATGTTATTTTCTGGTACAGCTTTGAATATCTATGCAACTTTGTCGCAGGATATCATATGTAATTATAACCTACTGAAGAAGGCAATCCTTAAAGCATATCAAAAAACCACAAATTCTTACAGGAAAGATTTCAGGTATGCCACCTTACAGCATGGCCAAAAATTTCAGCAGTTACAAGTAACACTCTTTCGTTTGTTCGACTTTTGGATAGAGAGTTCAGGAATTGATCACAGTTATGAATCTCTTAGAGACTTCATGGTTGCTGACCAGTTCCTGACAGCTCTTCCTCACCAGATACGAACATTCATTAGAGAACGTAACCTGATTAAAGCTGAAGAAGTTGCTGAGGCTGCTGACTTGTATGCTGAGGCTCACAATTCCTATAAAGACCTAAAGGGATCGATCCCCAAGGGCAATGGTTCACCTGAACCAAAGATTAAGAAGCCTACAGTAGAAAAAATGTCACCAGCTATTATACCAACATGTCATCGGTGTGGTGGTATCGGACATAAACGTCCAGATTGTCCTTCCAAGAAAATAGAGAAAGTTGGAAGATGTTTTGTTGACGGTAATGACCAAGCACCCTTCTGTTCAGAAGCAGTTAATGGTATAAAAGTCTCAGACATATTACGTGACACTGGATGTACGTGCATCGTAATTTCGGACAAACTGTTCCCTTACTTTAAAACCTCTCGTGTGTCCTCTATTCTTTCAGATTACTTGGGTCGTGAAAATACTTTCCCTACAATTCGTTTTTACTTGAAAACTAAATGGTTCACCGGTTGGACTAATGCGGTACTAGCCCCAATTACTTGTTCTATAATAGTGGGTAACATAAAAGGTGCCGTTCTTCCTTCAGAGGCGGATCTTTCGTCACCACCCGTGGATCTAAGTTTTCCAGCTCTTCTTCCTTGCAAGTTAAATAATCACCTTAACAATTCCGCACCGGAAGCTGCTTTGTCTCATACTGTTCATTTGGGGGTGGAAACAGATGATACTGCTCTCGATAGTGAGGTAGCAGGATCACCTGTCCACTCGTCAGGTGAAAGTAATGGTATTGCCTCCGGCACTCTCAATGTCTTGACTAGGGCTCAGACCATAACCCCGGCTTCTCCTACCTCCTCTTCTTCCACCATAAGTCCTTTTATTTTCCCAGATTTTATGCCCAAGGATGACTTGGTCAATATACAGCACGATTGCCCTTCATTTCGGGATTGTCATAATAAAGCTTTTAACAACAAAGTTCTCGCGCTGTATAGCCCTTGTGGCTTAGCGCTTCTTTTTGATTATAATAATAATAATAACAACAAAGTTATCCACGGGAGATACGTATCTCATAAGTTTGAATATATTAATGGTATCTTATATAAATCTGTATTTAAATCTCATTATTCAGTGATAGATTATTCCCTCCTTGTTGTTCCTAAACCATGTCGAGAGACTGTTCTTCAAATGGCTCATGATGTGCCAGTGACCGAACACTTGGCCCATCGTAAGACGTGGCATAAACTCAAGCACACTTATTTTTGGCCAAGCATGTACTCTCAGGTTACAAAGAAGTATAGTTCTTGCAATAGGTGTCAGGTGCTTACTGCACAAAATACACACACTCCTAGTTCCTGTATATTTATTAAATCTAAAACTTCCCTCCTGCAGAAACGAGATAATCCACAATAGAAAAAGGAATGTTTGGCCCTTGTGTGGGGTATCTCCAAGATTAAATTTTATTTACTGGGAAACTTTTAAGGGAACCAACAGTCGCCTCTTGAGGTGGACATTGGCACTCCAGACTTTTAAGTTCCATATTGTGTATATCAATGATTCATCCAATTATTTCTCTGACTGGTTAAGTCGTGACAGTCAGTAGAAGATTTGTTGTCTTACGCGACTTCCACGTGTTAGAACTTTTTCCTCGCCTATTCTTCTTATACTCCTTGACTGTAAGTCTTGGTATGGGGGAGTGTGAGGGAAAAGTTCAATAGATAGGAGTAGCGAGGGAGTATATAGTAACAATAGTTTCATTGCCGGCTACTTGTTAAGGTAGGGTAAGTCCGGCACCCGATATTCCCTTCCTTTTTCCCCCTCCCCGAAAGTGATAGTTTGATTGCCGGCTGCTTGTTAAGGTAGGGTCAGTCTAGCTCCGGCTATTCCTTCCCCTCCCTCTTTGCCCCCCCCAGAAAGGTGACGTGTGGGGCTCCGGCCAAACAGTAATCACTTGACTCACAGCTCCAAGCACTACTCTTGGAATGACAGAATGGGTCACCTGCCAACCAACGAGTAGAATTGAAGGAGACGGACTAACGTCCTGAGACGTCCCATGTTTTATCTACTTGCCTGTGCACTTGTATGAAGTTGCAGGACGTAACCCCTCATCATTGCAGCGGTAAAGAACCTGCTTTCCTGTCATCTGGATAGATTATTTTACGACTATAGACTCTGTGAAGAACGAGCCGGTGGGTTGTCACCAACACCTGCGACCCCCCCCCCCCACATCACATCAGCAGCGGCTACGATTTCAACAACACGCAGTGTCACCAACACCAGACACCCAAGTTTTAAATATATTAGCGTTGAATTCAGATATTTATATTTTTCATTTTTCATTTTCTTTAATGTAGGATCAATATTTCATATTTAAGTGTTTTATATTTTATATTTTCTAAATAATAAAGTGTTTATGTTTGTCAGTTTTTGTTCTTTTTCTATACATTAATTTTCCTGAGGAGGAGCCAGCCTTAGTAATACTGACTGAAGTTGTTACAGGGCTGAGTAAGTCTTCACAATACCCTCCTCGTCTGAGATATTTCTTGCTCTTTTACGGAATATAGGATCATGATATCATGGTTAGACTGTTGATGCTCTGGCTGAAATACACTAATATGATAGGTGTGGCAAGGTGAATAGCTAAAAAGATGCTAATTTTCTGAATACCAAGGTGATTGTCTAATAATGAAATAGACAGCCAAGAGTAAATTTTGTCTTAAAAAGGGATATATATATATATATATATATATATAATATATATATATATATATATATATATATATATATATATATATATATATATATATATATAACATATCTTCATATGTGTATGTGTACATAATTAGAACATATTGCGGTTAGTGTTTTCAAGCAAAGACAATTTATTTAATACTTAGAAAAAGAGGAGGACCATACAATATTATAATAAGAAAAACATATAACTATAGTCTAAATAAATTTAAGTCATTTTGTGTTACCCATCTCTACCACCCTCGTAGGTTCCACCACCGGCCGAATTTGCTGGTGGCGCTCGAGGAGTCTGGCTTCGGTAGGTTAGTGAGGGTAAATGACCCAGGTTCCGGGGTTCCCAAGGTTCAGTTCCAGGGCACCTTGGTAAAGATGATAGACTATCTCTCTGGTGTACTTAATTTCACGTAAGTATATTCAGATTTTATTAATAGCATTCCTTACTGAACAAAGAAGAGGTAAAGTCAGTCACAGAGCGGTGGATGTAAGCGTCAAGCCTTTCCACAATGCCATGTAAATTCCCTGCTTTTCCAGGCATTCACAATATATTATGAGACGTGTTCTTGTTTCTGTCTTTCTCCTTTCTCTCCGCTTCTCTGATCCTAATTTCTTTGATTCTGACAATTTCATTTTATGCAAGCCATTCTCTCATTAGATTTTTTTTATTATTATTATCACACTAGCCCAGTGGTTCCCAAACTGGGGGTAAATTACCCCCTGGGGGTAATTTAACCATTTTTGGGGGGGTAATGGAGGGGTGACAGAAAAAAAGTTATGAATTCTGAAGATCAAGAAAACAATGCGGTACCCGGTATGAGGATTATTGTTAACTTTGTCTTAGTATCTAAAGTTGTAAAGTAAACCTATTATAAGTAAGTAATAAAGTTAAACCAAATAACAATAAACATCAAAAACTAATATACAGTATTAGAAAAGAAGAAATATATAGCTAAGTGTGTGGAAACCCAAAAGTATTTTGACAAGTATGCTTCAGGACAAAAGTCACTCAGTAGCCCAGATCGACCTGTCCAGTACGCGTCACTCACTTCCTGAGGCTGCCTCTATTTCACACTGTCAGTTTATCTGTGAGCATCAGCTGAGTTAGACATAAGCTGGTATGAAGCCAAGAATTCCTAAACTAGTTTCAAGTATGCAACTCCATCCATCCCACTGATGTTCTTGACATCTTTGGTAATAGTCATTAGAGATGCACAATGTTCAAATACAATAAATAAAAGAAAATATCTCAAGTGTTTTAATTTAGCCATATATATCAATAATAGCAACATTTTGTGAAAGGGGTAACATGCTTTATGTGGCATGTTAAATTGGGTAACAAGCTGAAAAAGTTTGGGAACCACTGCTAGCCGATTCCCACCAAGGCAGGGTGGCCCGAAAAAGAAAAACTTTCACCATCATTCACTCCATCACTGTCTTGCCAGAATTATCTTCATAATTTCATAAGCTGTACATACCTACTCTCGTGATAAACTAAGTTTCTTTTTATATTGAACTAACTTCTCTAGTTAAGACACTTGTTCTTTGCCTTCCCTTCTCATTTGCAAAATCTTAATGAACAATTTCCGTCCTCGGAATTTTAAACATAAATTTCTTGACACTAATAGACTCGGTAGCAATCTGGTTCATACTTCACTTCCGCCTTTTACTTATAATTAGTGTAATTTCTGTTCATCTCGTCCGTCCCTATATTCTGGCCGCATCTTTTCTGACAGACTTATATACCACAAACGAAGTGGTCCCACGGCTGACAATAACGATGATCATTTCTGTTTTATTAGAGATCATAGCTATGCCAGAAGTTAGTCCTCTGTTAAAGCTATACGTTTCACTTTTAGCATCCTTAAGTCAAACATCTATAATACTTAATAGTTAATGAATAAGACACATGTGCAAAAATATGGGTATCTTAACTAAGATGTTTCACCTACACATCAGGGTCTTCAATCTAATACTGAGGCATGATGACTAAGACTGTTATATTATAGTTGCTGGAAGAATTGGAGAGATGCAGCAGATGTAGACGCGATCACATGTGGGCGGGGCTCACTGTTGAAAATAGGTCATGCCCCATAAAATAAGCCAGAGATATTGCAGTGGAATAGTTCAAGACATTCTTTGTTCCAAGATTTCATGATGTTACCGAGTCAAACAAGCAGCCTTAGATCAAAGGTACGCAATACTGACAAACTGATGAATATGTCCTGTAGGTCACATCTGAATGTTTTTGTCATCTGGCCTAGCAGTATCGTGAAATCTCTTGACAGAGAATGCCTTCTTCAGATCCTACTTTATAGGCATGAGCTACTTCGATTAATGCGGAACTGTCCACATGGAATCACGTCTACAACTACTGTACTTCGATTAATAGGGCCTGTCCTCATGTAATCACATCTGGAACTACTGCATCTCTTCACTTTTTCCACAGGTTCCACTTTAAAATTCGTCATAATCATGCCTTTGCAATAGACTGAAAAAAGGCTGCTGTGCTGGACAAATGTTTCTCAGTAAATTTGCCCAGAAGTTGCACATTTGTCTTATTTATCTACGCGAAACCTTCACCTCATAAATCAGGCATTATTTATAAAATTACCAACACAACACAGGTTTCAGTTATATTGATGCTTGTCTCTATTAGTATTGAATCAAATGTTTTAATCATAACACTCGTGACTTGTCCATATTGAATAACCATGTCACTATGGTTGTAAGAGAAGTGAATTCTTGGGTGTTGTCAAAAGGTGTGGGGTTTAAAGATAAAGAATTCAACATGAAGTGAGAGTTGTCACAGTTGCTCTTTGCTGATGACACTGTGCTTCTGGGAGATTCAGAAGAAAAGTTGCAGAGGTTGGTAGGGTGTGTAAAAGAAGGAAATTGAAAGTGAATATAGGAAAGAGTAAGGTGATGAGGATAAAAACTTAGGTAACGAAAGATTGTATATCAGACTGGAAGGAGGGAGTATGGAGGAAATGAATTTATACAGATATTTGGGCGTGGAGATGTCAGCAGATAGGTTTATGAAAGATGAGGTGAATCAGAAAATTGATGAGGGGAAAAAAGTGAGTGTTGCACTGAGGAGTCTGTGAAGACAAAGAAAATTATCCATGGAAGTAAGGCAATGGGAATATATGAGAGTATAGTTATACCAACGCTCTTATATAGGTGATGAATGTTGTAACAAGAAGGCTGGAGGCAGTGGAGATGTCATGTCTGAGGGCAATGTGTGGTGTGAATATAATGCAGAGAATCTGTAGCTTGGAGATTAGGTGGTGTGGGGTTACTAAAAGTATTATCCAGAGGGTTGAGGAGGGATTATTGTGGTGGTTCGTACTTAGAGAGGATGGAACGAAATAGAATGACTTGGAGAGCGTATAAATCTGTAGTGGTAGGAAGGTGAGGGCTGGGTTCGGCCTAGGAAAGGTTGGAGGGAGAGGATAAAGGAGGTTTTGTGTGCGAGGGACCTGGATTTCCAGGAAGCATGCATGAGCGTATTAGAGCAAGATAACATTTATGAAGGGAAATGGGAAGTACAGTGTATGCACTCTGAAGGAGGGGTGTTAATGTTGCAGTTTTATAATTGTAGTGTAAGCGCACCTCTGGCAAGACAGTAATGGAGTGGATGATGAAAGTTTTTCTTTTTCGGGCCACCCTGCCTTGGTGGGAATTGGCCGATGTGTTAATATATATATATCGCGCCGAACAAGTAAAACTTGCTATTTTGGCTTAAATAGCAATGCTCTTCTTGCTGAATAAGGCAAACGAAAATTTGTATAACCTATAATTTCGCAAAAATTATTTTGAACCTAACGAAAAAACTATTTCATTGTGTTTGTTTATTATTAAATTATTGTAAGCATATCTAAAATATATTTAGTTGGATAAGGCTAAATAAAATTGAGCTTGTTAT